CCTGGGTATTGAGATAATTTTGCTGTTTAGCCCCTAATCCCCACGTACTCTGGTATGCATCCACCAACCCAACTACTTGAGTCAAAACTTGGTCCCACACCCCCTGCCTCTTAAAGTGACAGTAAACTCAGGAGTTAAATCTTAAAAATTCCCCATGGTCCCTGTGTGTGTCGTAAAGTAGCTACTGCTCCAAGCTCGCTCCCATGATGGACTCTCACTTTTGTTTACTAATTTGTATTAAGATTGTAGTTCATCAGGGAAGCAAGCTTGGAGTGGTGGCTACTAAAGAACACACACACAGAGACCATTGGGAACAAAAGTAGCCACCCTCCAGAAGGAAGGACAGTGTCAGCACCAATTTAGAGATTATTTGAGGATCTACAGCCAAGTGATACACTAATAAGGTACATTTTTGTTAACAGTTAAGGAATTAAATGCATTTTTAAAGTTGAACTCCTCATGGTGTGTCACTTTGAGCCTCCTATTGATCCAGCATCATAATGGGTGGCCCACTGTCCAATAATGAAGTTCAGGAATTGTGCGGGAGAAGCACCAGATTACTGCTCATGCAAGTTATTCCATATGTGCATAGCAGAGCAAACTAGGGAGGAACCCAGGGTGCTGAACTGTAAAGCAGACCTACGGACATGTGCTATGAGCTGCCCAAAACAGATTAGGTATTTAAATTGAACTTTGGTTTAATGATAAACGATATGATAGATGCACTAATTTCTTCCACTTTTAATGTTTAAATGTAAACACATGCAGGTTAAAGTGACTGTCATGATGGTATGATGTTCATCTACTCAGCCCATCGCTCTGTATAGTCAAGCCTGGTAAATACATATGACTTCAATGACTGATTTTCAATAACACCAATATGTACAAGTATGGGGTTTATATGAGGCATACACATAACTTTGTATTACTGTTAAAAGTATAATTTATTTTACAATAAATAAAACCCAACATTTGATTGCATATACAATATCTAAAATTAATATACAAATTGGATAGTCCCCTTATTTTAGGTGCCTTTAGAAATCTATTGTTGTATTTGTTTTAATGTGTTCTATATCAGTGTCCTCAAAGAATTGAGCTGTGTCATTTCAAAGCCATTGTATCAAATTTTTAGAGACTCTCTAATGACTGGCTTGGTACCGATGGAATGGCGCTAGGCCAATGGGGTGTCTATATTTAAAAAGGTATCAAAGTCTTTACCAAGTAATTACAGACCTGTTAACTTAACTTCAATAGTTGGGAAGATACTTGAAAGATTGATCATCACATGCACTTGTTTGTGCTTGAAAATAATATGATAAGCAATAGTCAGCACGGATTCACAAAAGACAGAATTTGTCAAACAAATCTATTTTCCTTTTATGAGGAAGTGAGTAATACATTGGACAGAGGAATGACTGTGGATATAGTATACTTGGACTTTGCAAAAGCGTTTGACGCAGTTCCCCACAGGTGGCTAATGTATAAGTTAAGGTCTGTAGGTATAGAGTATTCAATCTAAATGGTCTGAGGTTGTTAGTGGTGTACCCCAAGGTTCAGTGTTGGGCCCCTTACTGTTTAATCTTTTTATAAATGACATAAAATTGGGGATTAAAGGTACTATTTCTGAGTTTGCAGATGATCCCTCTCTGGGGGGAGTATGTGTGGGGGAGACAATGATGGAGAAAGATCTGGGTGACTGAATAATAGCATACAGTGTCAAGCCGCAGTTTCTAAAGCAAGCAAAATACTTTCTTGTATTAAATGTGGTCTAGACTCCAGAGATAGAGACATAATCCTGCCCCTGTACAAAGCATTAGTAAGACCTCATCTGGAATATGCAATTCAGTTTTGGGCGCCAGTTCACAAAAAGGATGTTGTGGAACTGGAGAAAGTGCAGAGAAGGGCAACTAATCTGATAAGAGGCATGGAGGAGCTCAGGTATGAGGAAAGATTAGCTGACCTGAATGTGTTCTCTCTGGAGAAGAGACGATTAAGGGGGATACATGATCACCATGTATAAATACATAAATGGTCCATAGACTGAGCTTGGTGCCAAATTATTCACTTTAAGGTCACTGCAAAGGACAAGGGGGCACTCTCTGCGTCTGAAGGAAAGGTGTTTTAACCTTTGCATATGGAAAGGATTCTTCACAGTTAGAGCTGTGAAAATGTGGAAAAGACTCCCCCAGGAGATAGTTCTAGCTAGCTCAGTAAACTGTTTTTTAAAACATCTGGATATATTTCTAAATGCACAGAATATTACTGGATATTGAGTTCTTATAGGTATATTAAGCACCAGAGATTGTTGATCCAGGGAATATCCGATTGCCTTATGGGATCATGAAGGAATTTTTTTCCCCTGTTGGAACAAATTGAACTATGCCTAATAGGGTTTGTTTTTGCCTTCCTCTGGATCAACAGAGGGTAACTGTAGGCATTACGATCTGTTTTAGGTTTTTCTTCTTTTTTTGTTTCTCTCCTCTTATCTCTATTGGTTGACCTTGATTGACTTTTTTCAACCTGACTAACTATGTCACATTCAACTTAATTGATTTCAATAACATGTACTTAAAACATCCATATAATGTTCAATACATATTGTGTACCATATTACCCTGATGAAGCTTTAATGTGAAACACATTGGAATGCAAAAGAAACTACAAGCCCTTGGATACAATATGTATTAAACATGATATGGATGTATTAAGTGCATGTTATTGAAATCAATGCATTTGAATGTAATATAGAATAAGGGCCTTAGATTTCTACTGGCGACTAAAACAAGGGGACTATCCAAATCTTATATGAATTTTAGATATTGTATATGCAATCAAATGTTGGGTTTTAATTAATGTAAAATAAAGTATTCTTTTAACAGTAAGTTATGTATGCCTCATGTAAACCACATACTTGTACATATTGGTGTTATTAGAATATAGGGGGAATAGGCAAGAAAGCAAATGTATGCATGATCCCTTGGAGGGTAGCTAATCTGGAATTGACAGCTTTTCAATGACTGCTGGGAGCACAGGAGAAGATAAAGACAGAACGTGTAGTATCCAAGCCTGTAGTGTCATTTTGGCCATGTTGCAGGTACAGTAATACCTCGGTTCACGAACGCATGAATCAAAGCTTGGGAAAATGTTGCTTCCGTTCGCAAACTCAACATCGGGTGATGAACACGACAGTGGCCATCTACCCCGCTCTTACATGTGGTCGTGGCTTCCTCTAGTCGAGCTTGCGGTCACAGACAGACCTGTCCGCACTTTCTGTGAAGCTTTTTGTGTGTGTTTTTTAACACATACAGTATTTAATTCAGTTCGCAACCAATTCGGTTCCCGACCAGAATCGTGGAACCAATTAAGTTCGTGAACCGAGGTACCACTGTATATGATTTTTTTTAGACATTTTCTGCAAATGGCCCAGGGAGGGGCTTGTGTTGAGATCATTAAACAGTTAACAATACTGCAAACTGATTTGTTCCATAATTTTTCTGACCACAGACAGAGGTATAGTGCTAGCCAGACAGGCCCTTGTGTTCAATGCTATTATCTGCTTGGGTTGTAACACATACCAGTATACATTCTGATAATATGATCATGCAATTATCAAATACTGATGAGCACTAGATATGCTAAATAACACACACAGATACCATGCCTGCACCATATATAAGCTGCACTGGTATACCAGCCAATCTGGGGAGCAAAATGGTGTGGGATCACAGCCACAAATGAATACAGCATTAATGGCACAATCTTTCTCTTCCCATCCTTGTTTTAGAGGAGTCAGCACATGCATGGCTTGCCTTAGCTACTTGTAATCCTCATATTCATGGCCCAACTACACATTTTAATATCATGAATTTATGTATTCCTGAGTCACTGTCCCAGAACAAGCATGCACATTAGACGTACTAAAGTTACTACTAGCTACATAAGTGTTCCAGGTCAGCATCTTTAGGTACTAAGTTGGGGGTAATAATAACCTGAGTCCTATATAGGTAATGGGGACTTTAAGGGATAATCACAAATTATTTCAGTATGCTAGGTGCTACTATAGCGCATTCTATTGGGGGTTCCTCGCTAGCTAAAACATCTACCATTTCAGGCCATCTAGATAGACTCATACTGTACATATAAGGCAAGTCATTGGGGAGCTTTCTTGGATCACTGCTAGCAAGTATTCTTGCGGATAAAGTCACACAATTCGATCAGATCTGGGGGCCCTAGCTGGCCTGTACAAGTCCTACAATAATGTAATTACATAAGGGGGGGAAAGGGAAGGGAAAGAGAAGGAAAGGGAAAGAGAAGTGGGAAGGAGGTAAAAGAAAAGGGTAGAGTTTGGACCTTAACCCATCCCGACCAAAAAATCAAATTAAATTAAATTAAACTGTTATTGTTGATGTTAATATTGCATTCTTTTTTTTTTCTTTTTTCTTTTTTCTTTTTCTTTTTTCTTCTTTTTGCTCTTCTTTTTTTTTTCTCCCCCTTTGTGAGTAATGGTGTGTTTTGTGATTTTGTGTGTTGAAGAAAACAATAAAACTTTTGAAAGATAAAGCAATGTGAGTATAACAAAGTTCATCACCGAAGGAAATTATTGAATAAACGGCAGAGTCCAGCAGAGGTGGCGGCAAGTGAAAAAAACGCTTTTTATCCACTCTATTAGAGTACAGATATTTTAAGCATACAGTTTCTTGGGGTCAGTCTGTGCTGTTCCACAATGTATCAGTGGAACAGCACAGACTGTAGCATCTTTGCTACTTCTAAAGTCAGGAACAGCAATGTCTATTGTTTTCTTTGACAATAAAGATATAGTGTTACAGATACTGTTACAGACTAATTAAAAAGAAGGAAATTGAAAGCTTTCAGAAAATGTTAGGCTTAGGCTTTTGCTAGGCTTTTGACAAAGAAATCTTGCATATTTCAAGAGCTTGCATCTTGTCTATTGAGTTAGCCAATTAATACTATAACTTCAAACATTAAAGAAAACATACCTGTATTTGGCATCACCAGCCTCCCTCCTTGATGGCCAAAAATTCCACAGACTCTCATCTCTGGCTTGGATGAAACTGATGATAGGTTTTGAATGTAGGGGTTTTTGTTCCTATTGTGTAATGTTCCAAAGCACCTGTTGTTCCCATGGGGAAAGGTTCCCGAGAGGGTCTTGCTGTGGAACTCAGGCCTCTCTGTCACCCCCAGTGACACCATAAATGAACTTTGCACTTTGACCTTGATGTCTGTTAGGGGGTTAAAGATTGAAGACTCAGTCATTAGCTCTTTGTCCATTGGGTCCTGGAAACAAATCGGACCACTGTATGTTCTGCTCACTGTTAAATCAGGCTGCAGTGAAGAGTTCAATAAAAGAGAGTTACCTGTAAGACAAAGGGATATTTGCTGTAATTTGGTAACTGCACTACAACCCAGACCTGAAATTAATTGCACAGGTGACCATAAACTTAAATCCCAACTGTTATATGCATAGGATGAAACCTATTTAATTTTGCTAATCCGCAGACAGTTGAATTCCTATATAAACCCATGGTACTAAATTCTATGTGATAGAAACCATCAAAGCGTTATGGGAAATACAGAATGTGCACTCATGTATCTCGAAGTTAATATCATTTTACTATGCACTTACATACTGAACCATGTCTTCCCCATTATGGTGTTTCTATCTATATTTCATACACATTTCGTAACTGTGGTATTATGCATGAATGGAGCCAGCTTGCTTCATTGTCAGAAAAGGTTCAGTTAATGTAACTTGCTGCACAGAGAGTGTAGCACTATGACTCGGGTATAGGAATAATTCCATATATAATGACATTCCAAAGTAAATAAGATTTGTTTTCATTGATTCTATCTGAAAGATGTGATTCTTTAAAACATGCACCTTTTGGCAGTTGGTTATAAAATTATCCAAGCAATAAATGATACCCAGGGCTGTATTTATCAGCTACATTCTTGCTTCAAAATGAGAACTGAGGGAAGGAGGGTGAAAAATAACTTACTGCACAATACAGCTCTTCTCTAAGTTATTAGAAAAGCTAAAAAAAGTTTAACAAATTAAAAATGTGATCTTCTTTTCCAACAGTTTGAATAATTTATTCTCTGCTTGAACATCTCAGCATTGAACTGTTTTGGCACCAATAGTAAGTATACAATATCACTATAGTAAGTACCAATTTTTCAGCCTGATGCTTTTTTCTGTGGGGGAGCTAGTGTTAGAGAGTAGGTTAAAAGTAATTTTATGGCTGGGCACTGGATTACTTCAGAGGGTATCTAAACCCAACCCAAATCAACCATAAAACTAAAATGTAATATATTGCAGCTTATCAGAACTAAGGTGTAATGTGGTGCCTGCATTAGTATTTGTCAGGATGTTATTTGCTTTATTTTCACCTGGTTATCCTGTAAAGAACACAGTTCCTGCCCCTTCATGTCTACACTCTTTTCTCCATTGTATCTATTGGGAAAGCCATGGTTGTCACACAGGCAGGACATCAACCATGTCTGCCTTTGTTTGTCAGCATTACATGGTAGATTGATGGGAATAGTAATTTACACAATCAAAATACAGTTCTTTGTGTCTTCTTTTCACAGGGAGTGACACAAATGCTGCTTTTCTGCCAAGGTCAACCAGTATTTACTGAACTTTCTGAAACTAGTTGAAAACTAAGGCCTGGTTCACACCTAGGCGATTGCTGAGCTGTTTTCACACGATTTTGCTTTTAAAAACGAGTGGTTCTCAATGCATAGAGGTGTCTATGGGACCAAAACCATGCAACATCTGCCTGAAAATAGCTCCTAAATCTTTTTGCGTGGCAGGCGATATTGCACAGTGACACAATGCTTTGGTGTGAACTGTCGCCATTGACTTGTATGGGTTTTTGTGTTTTGCGCATTATCACGTGTCTTAATCTGCGTGATACAACTCCATGGTATGAACCAGGCCTCATGCAGCCACCGCATTTAAGGACTGGAAAGCTGCTATATACTAATTTGTTTTGTGAAGGGAAGAAGGATAGGAACACTGTAAGGGTTAGTTCAAACATTAACCTTATAGAATGACTGCACTTTAAAGCAATTTTCTCATATAATTTTTGCTCTCCCCTGATTTAATCTACCCCACTTCCCCCAAATGCATACTCACCTCAGTTTGGTAGCCATAAATGCAGGTGGCTTCCTGCATTTGTTAACATCCTGACCTAATGACCTAAACATTTTTCTGTGTTTTGGACATGCCTGCACAGCAAAGCCTGCACAGTAGCTTTCCATAGACTCATTGGAGCATCTTCAGCTTTCAGACACAGCCAAATAGAAGCCTATGGGGAGCTTCCTATGAGTGGAAGAAGCATGGGTAACAATTGACATCTTGGAGGCAGTTTTGCAAGTGGGAAAGGTAAGAGTGTTACCAATGCATACTTGTAATGGTATATACAGTGCCATTGCAACCCATTTACATAAATTGCCCCCCCCCATCAGTCAGTACCAGAATTGAACAGTCCTGGAGTTCATCAGAATTGCTGTGCCCCATTCCCTCTCCAGCTTGCAGCCTGTGCTCCTTTCGCTCCATAGTGTGGGCAACCTGGTTTCATGGCATTATTGGTTGTTATGGTATTGGCAGGACGAACCCAGGCAGAGAATAAGAGGTGAATAAGAGGTGATCTTCTCTCAATGGGATTACCTGGCTCAGCCAGGTGTCATTGGTTGCTAAGATGCAGGTGGTGGGGCTGCACAGTGTCATGCATTTCCATAGCGCAGGCTGGCTGATTGCAAGCATCATTAAAACCAATGACATGCTGTGCAGCCCAGCCACCTTTCCTGGATAAGGCAAAGGCAGAGAACCAGCGGCCATTGTTACTGTGGGCAGACTTGGTAGGGATATTTACAGTCACACTCCACTATTATTGGATTCTTTGCCCCGTAACCCTAAACCTTCTGGCATATACCCCTGGTTGCGAACCACTGGACTATATTATAAAAATGATGCATTACATGTTAATTTTTTTCATTTATATGTGGGTTTTTGTAACTGGTTACTGAAAAATTGCAAGTTTAAATAAAATCCCAAATAGGTTGCCTTTAACTTTCTAATTTAAATCAGTTGACAATTAAACAGACTCTTTGCAGGAGTACCCTGAGGGAAACCTAGCAATAGAGTATAATTTGTCATATGGAGTGGGCCATGTTGGAGAGTTTGCAATAACATCTAAGCCATTTCATATTGTGCAGTCACTTAATTATTTAATAAAAGGGGTACAAATACCTACAATTTTAATTTGTGGATGCTTGGCAGTCCAGATTATGAAAGAAATAGGGAAAGTATGAGGTACAGAACGTGACATATTGAGTGGGTGGATGAGATTTGGATCAGCTGGGTTTTTGTTTAGATTATGTAATTTTCTAATACTTCGAGAAAAATAAATGGGGGAGGATTATGGTGGTCATTTTGAAATTTCCAATGGACAGGCACCAAGGACTTTAGTTAAGAATCTTTTGACCTTGACTTAGGTTAGGCCTCTTTGGAAGGTGAAACCCAGGTCAAATGGCCATTCTAGCTATGTGTAAGGACTGAATGCAGTCAAGCATAAAACTGCTGTGTCATTCCAATACATAAACCTTCTCTTTTTATTTGGGTGACCAACAGAGAATAGGGTGATGCAGTTTATCGTTACTGTATTAGGGGGTTTGATATCAGGCAGAATACTTTGTGCAAGCTGTCAGATCGCAGTAATCACTAATAAGTCATCGTGGCTCACAGGTCAAAACAATGAAAGATGGACTCTTGTTGCACTTTGTTCTTTAATTCACTTATAAATGCCTCACAGAGTGCTATGTTCATAAAGTTCAAGAAGCCAAGCATATGGCATACAGGTATAGATTTGTCCTAGGTCCATAAACACATACTAGCATGTCCCAGTTTCACTAGGTTAAACTGTCACAGGACTCATCTCCAGGGGATGCTTTAGTAACCAACCATGAACACACAAAAAAAGAAAGAAAGAAAAAAACTGTCTGGATTTTCATTTTTATCCTTTGCCTCCAGGCTTCCTGAAGCATGATATTTTATTTATTCTTTCCCATTGCTAAAGAACACTGTGTAACAAGACTCTTCCCTAATGAGCAAGAACTGTTCCATATCTTTAAGTGGTGTTTTGCATCCTATGCATAATTCTCTTACATTGTTCACCAGAAAACAGCTTGAATGGGAAGAAAAAGTAGACAGGGCTTCCACCTATTTACAAAATCCTGGGTTTAATTCAGGATAGCGGCCATGTTCCACCTAGACACCAGTTATGTAAGTAAAGAACTATTCACTTTTCAGATTCTTAAAGGTAGTATGCTACTGGCTATCTCAGTCTTCAGTACTTTGTGTCACTGATTTAGAACAAGCATGCAGCAAGTTGAAAGAGAAAAAAAGCCAAATCTTTTTTTGGTAGCATCCAAATACCTCTCAATACAGGTTTTATTTAAGAAGATGCCTGTAAGAAGATTGCTTAAAGTACACCTCTTCTTTTATGCAAGCAAAATAATAAACAAAACATGACCCCCCTCTTCTTTACATAGCATATAAAGTTGGCATCAGATACTTCAATGGTGGAGTGGTACGCTGAAGGCAACAGAGCGTTATCTGACAGGTAGGTATTGTGTTTGCCAACAATAAAGAAGGAAGAAGCTGATGGTAATAAGAAGCAGTTAACAGATCAATGGATGGCTTACACCCTTTAGCCTCCAGTGTTATACCACACTCTAAGTTAGATGAAGCCATCTAACTTAGATCCAAAATAAGCATGTCATCTTGGGTTACCTGCAATGACCTTCAAAAGTACTGCTACATTCTAATCATAGGTGTTAACCAGCCTTCAATCCATAGTTAGATGTCACATGATTGCTTAACACAGACATTTACTGAAGATACTTTATATTCCCCTGGCTCTGATGGATTGATCCAGACTCCTAGTTTGGAGTTTGAGAGATTTTGTAACAATTGCCAAAGCCCTGATGAAGATAATTGTTTGGGCCCTGAAATGTGTTGGATGTCTCTCAGTACCCTTTTTAACATTTGTGGAATGATAAAATACAGATTTTTATAAATGGGTTGGGCGCTCATTCTGGTTCGATTACATGTCAAATGATATTGGAGCTCTCTGGGTTTAGTGTGTTCCTTGAAACTTTGTATCCTCACAAGTGACAATTTTATTTCTACTTACAACTCCATACGACAAAATTCCTGGACATTTATCTGACTTTTAATTATAATCACCAACAAAGCAAATTCTTCACAAGAGGTAATTTACTAATCTCAGGTGATTTTAAGAATGATAGAATTTGAATGTTGTAGCTTTGTTTAAGGTCCGGCAAAAGTCTTTCAGCCATGTTAGCTAAGATGCTTTCCTTAGCTTACAGTGTTAGCTTTCTGTCACTATGTGTCTTTGCAGAAGGCCCTCTTAACTCCTTCAGAGACTTCAACTTTTTCCCTTGTCCCACGATCTTCCTAAATGCAGGCAATTGTCGGCAACTCACATGACAATAAAAAAGGAGGCTTGCATAGTCTTTTATTTAAATGCTGGTACATAGGCAATAACACTTACAAAAACAGTGCTTTTGACACTATTGTGGATCAAGCATGCAGGTGTGTGAGTTGCTTAGATCCTGCATTTTGGAAGGACATGGGACAAGTGTTTGAACTAAGCACTTTATTGTGGATGAATTAGATAACAGAGATAAATGGTCCATTAAAATATACTTTAGGGTTTAGGTTAGCACTGTGTCTATTTATTTATATATATATTTGCTAATATCATATAGATATTCATACGAGGGGCGTGGCCTGGAGACTCATGTGAGCGGACGTGTCTGAGAGAGCTCCGGCACGAAATCCTGAAAATATCCTTTACATCTTCAGTTCTTACGTGCAGTCGCCACCTAAATCTCGTCTGTCTACTTACCGGACCCCTTGAGACTGTCAGCTACCACTCTGTCACCCTCCGCTTTCTTGGGATGTCAAAAACGGACGATGAGGCCCTCACTGGAGGTATTGACCTGCAAGATGGCCGCGGCTCGCGTGCCCCTGTCCAGACCCCTCGCAAACAACAGAGGGGTCGCTCCAGGGATGTCGCCTCGAGGCTAGAGAGGTTTGCAAGGGGAACCCCGAGAGGACCCTGCCGCAAATTGCGGGTGACGGATGCAGGCTCTGGTACCCTGCTGGCCTCCCGTTCGGCCACTGGCTCGGACGGCTCCGATCCTGATGATGGAGGGGTGAGTGACACGTGTGCTGCCCCCTCTACCAAGAAAAAAAAGCCCACGCTTAAGGATGTTTTTTCGGCCATTCAACGCTGCAACTCCTCCATATCCTCCCTGACAGACCAGGTGCAGGGGATGCGGGCGGATATATCATTCCTACGGCATGACCTTCAAAAAGTCCGAGACCGGACCACTGTTCTGGAGGGTCGGCTTGGTGATCTTGAGGATGCCAATGCCCCTATCCAGGCGGACCTCAAGTCCGCCCTTCAAAGATCCGCGGAGAACTCCCTTAAAACTGAGGATATCAAAAATAGACTGCGGCACAACAATATAAGAGCTGTTGGGATCCCTGAGAGATCAGAGGGCCCCAACCCCACTATATTTGCTTTTAAAAAAAAAAAAAAAAAAGATATTCATACAGCAGCTTAGACTTATTTTAGTTATCTAGGGAAGTATGTTTAGATCATTACACATCTGTGAACTTGTACGACATCCCACCCATGGTGTTGGCTCTCACTCCTTTCTGTGCAGGCCAAGGCCACTTGAGTTCCTAAACACCAAATTAATCAAACCATGACTTCTGGATTTGGCTTTGTGCATAGCCCTTCCCAAAAACCCATGCCACAAACCCTTGCTCGGGATGTCAAAACCTGAGGGTAATAATTTAGAGAGAATAGGAACATTTAAAAAAGTGGGTGGCAAACTACAGTATATCTCGTAGCTATAGGTGATTATAGATCCAGCATTAATAACAAGGTCCACCTTAAACACCAGTGGGGCCGTAAAAGTTAGAGGTTTCTGTGTGTGCAAAGTACAAAAGGAATCCACGGAGAAGCAGTGTCAATACAAATTTACTGAAAAGTTCAAAATGACATATACAAACAAATGAATAAATATGAGAACAGAATACTGATTAAAAAATCGTAAGCAGACTGCAATGATTTAGAAAAACAAACTGCCTGGTCATAGATGTAGATGAGGACAGCTTAGCAGTTAGGTTATTGTCGATGTATTTTGTGGGACATGAAACAAACTCAAAGAAACTCTTGTATTCCAGACTTAGAAATGGACTGACATGTTCTCTTTGAAATGTGTTGAGTGGAACAACCTGCAGGATAGGTTCATTAGGGAAAAAGGAGACCAAGGTCACAGTAGACTAACCTTGTCGGACAGTTTTGAAATTGAAAGTCTGAAAGCCTCCTGTCAGGGCAGACGAATCAATAACATCCACGCCATACTCGCTCTGGCTCCTTCTATATAACGTAATTCCCACCACCAGCACGGCCACAGCAATGATGGCTGCTCCCAGACCGGAGTACAGAGCAATGTCACTGGCACTCTCAGCGCCTGTACAGAAATGAAAGAAGAAAGGAGGAAAAAGAAACAAAACAAAATAAATTACTTCAGAGTACTCCATGAAATCAACACCGTTGAGGGACTATGTGGTAAAATGCCATAAAGAAACCAATGTTCAGGAATACAGAATTCTGTTTGTGTCAGAGGAGACATGTAACTGAAGCAAAAACAACATTTTTTCATCTGCTGTCCAGAAAACATATTTTTAGGGTGAAGGTAAACATTCAAAGGAGTTTATACAGCTTATACAGTTAGCCCACATGGGAGACATGTTTGTATCTATGAGCTCTTTTTGGATTTTGCAGACTGAAAGGAATCATTCCATTTTACATTAACATTTCTATGAACCCTGCAGACATAAACACACGTTTGGGGTACACTTTATGCCAGTTTTCCTATTGTGTTTAAACTTCAGACATTGCAATCGAGATCCAGCAAACATAAACTATGTGTCTACTTTTATCATCTCCTGCCATTAGCCCATGCCTACTAGAGATAAACTGTGGCTTCAGGTCAACCATGAGTTCAACCTGAACCCAAGTTGTTTGCTGAACGAGTGAACAATTTAGCCAGTTTGCCCACCTGGAAGAACCTCCGTCTATGCCATATTGACCCTCACAGCATCACAGGTCTGCCCCACGGTCTTATAGGTTGTTATGGTGCACCTGTCTGTGTCTTAGCATTCAATTACACTGCTAGGACATTGACAGTCCTAGGTTCAGTTTGATTGGATGGATTTCTGGCTGGATTTGGTGGTTGCAGAGGGAACTGCTCCCAGGCCAGCTTGTTCATCACTAGTGCTTACATGGAAGAGGATTTCTAAAATACCTTGAGTATAAACAATGGCATGAGGTGGTAAGAGATCAATCAACCATTCTTGGTCTATTCTCTTTTCTTTTTTTATACACAAGGAGATTGGAGGGAAAGTCTTTAGTTCTCTTTTCTATGGTTTGCATTTGATACTGTTATAGCTATTTTATAATATGCAATGTTCCTTAACATGAAACATTGTAAAGGATTGAAAGCAAAATCCTGCTTAAGAGCAGCAACCACAATATAGTTACTATTATTTTTTATTAGCCAGAAAAGTCTATTCTTTATTGCTGTTGAGGCCAAACTATGTGAAACTAGCATGTAGGTCTGCCATAATGGGCAATTTGTGGTATATACAGTACTTGTCCATTGAGGCAAAAGCTTAGGGACCCACTGTGACTTAAGTTCCACTTTAAAGCAGCATCAATCATAATCCAAACTTCAGGTGACTATAATGAGGGTGGTAATAAGTAATGTTATTGTACCACAATCATGCGTTTGCCAACATTTCCCAATGATCAATTTCAAGCCTTTAAAATGCCCATGAATTCTTCTAAGATTAATTTATGCTGATTTTCTTTCACAAAGTTGCTGTATTAGAAGAATAAATGCATAATTGTTAAATGTGTAAGTATGTGAAGATTACATTTAAACAGTTACCATGATGACTGCCTGATGTGCCATACAATAATAACCTACTATAAGACACCGCAAGGGAAGAAATTTAAACTGTTAAACATAACAAGATTGTTATATTACACATAACTGAGGGTCATAAACTCTACAGATACATTAGAATATGAACTGTATTACAAGCTAGAATTTCAGCTTAACTACGTAATGTATACCAGTAGCTGTAATTCATGAAACTAGAAATATAAATATAACGCCCCATACGCAATACGCAGTACCAACACCTCACAGGCAGTTATATGAATCTGTTGCAAATTGCCCCATATGCTAAATGGATGGGATATTTCTAAAGGTAATTCTGATTAACACCCCAATGTGTCTTGTTGATGCAGAAGCGCTTTATCATACGCGTGGCAATGCAGTGTGTTGCTGTCCAGTGGGAGGCCAAAAACGGTGGAGGTCTGATTTTTGGGCCATTAAGGTGCATTGCTAGCCCATTCATTTTGAAGCTACAGTTAACAAGGGAATATTCACTTAGCTTAGTGAATGAGGTGAAAATTCACTTTGCAAAGAATACCCAATCAGGTGCAAGAAAAATATGAAAAAAATACTGTTTTGTTTCGTTTGCACATGATTGGTTCATAGAAGTCAACACAGCTTCACTTCATTCACTAAACTAAGTGAACATTCCCTTGCAAAGTAAACAGCATATTTGTCTTTAGTAAATCAACCCCAATGAATCCACAGACTTTATTTGGATGATTGCAAACAGGGTGGATTATTTTGCTATGAGACACTATTATTTAATTGGTCTATGTATGGATATATCACTCTGTGATTCAAGAATGTGTACTTCCAATCATATCATTGGGACTGTTTGATTTTTGGATAAGAGCTAGTTTTTGTTATATACATAATACTTCTGGTCCATCTGCAGCTGTTTATGACATTGCTCTATAATCCACTCTAAAAGAATGCCATTATTTGAAGTACTGAAGAGCAGCCTGCCTTCTTGGGACAGGAGTTTTTCCCTATTTTATATTATACTGCTTGGCTGTTTGATCTTCACAGCTGTACTACACAGTCTGCACTTGAACAAAGGATCACAATTATTTATACTTACAATGATATGCTACAGTGCTATTTATTGTATAGCTTCCCGCTATTAGTTGGGAGCTTCTGCATGAAAACAAATTTATTTTTTTGCTTTCTTTAAAACATTCATCATTGCAATAGTGACATTCCAGTACAAAATACCTTTGCCCCTTTTTTGTGGATTACAATTTATTTAATGGAGCAGTTCCATTTTGGATGTATGAATTTTGTGGGATTTTGGACCATCTATACCAATATCATATAACATCTTTATAAATATATCATAACAAATGCAGTTCACCCCTACTTTGTCTTCACAAAGCAGGAGAGTTCAAGCCCCAGGACATTTTTGTTGGTATCTTTTGGTGCAGGAAGGTAATTAGCATAAAGGTGTGGGGGTCAGGGTTACAAGATGGGATATTGTTAGTGTTGTGCTTGCAGGCAGGTTAAGTTTCAGTGTTGGAGCTGCAGTAAGGATTAGTATGAGCAATGAGCATACAGGGAGACTTAGCGTGAGAGTTACAAAGATGGTTGATGTAAGGGTTGGATTTACAAAGAGGACTGGTGTCAGAGTTGAGTTTACGAAAAGGGTTAGTGTGAAAGAGTTACATGGAGGAAAAGTATAAAGGTTGGAGTTACATGGAGGGTTAGTGTGACTGTCAGGTTTACAAGGAGGATTAATGTAAAAGTTGGAGTTACAGGCAAGGACCGTGTGAAGGAGTCTTAGAGCACAGCATTGCTCAGAGCCAAACTCCTGGCCTTGAAACCTTGTGTACCACTGTCTTCTTTCTCAGTTAGCTACTTTTAACACTAGGTCTAATTACTTATACTAAAAACTGTAAAAATAAATCCCTATTGAAGCACCAGAGAAAGCCACCCCAATTAGAAGTAAGTAAGCACCGCCACTGACATCAAACAACACACCGTATCAATATATAATCATTAAGACATTCACAAAGTTCAATGATTAAAGATGGTGTGTTCTGCAAAAGCACTAATCCCTCCTGCAGAATCTCAAGCACACAAGGCTGTAAAAACTCCCAAGGCATGCCTACTACCTTTTTAATGTTTGGCACAACCTTTGAGCATAATATAGCAGCCCAGCTAAAGGATTGCTGCTATCCTGTTGTAAGCCATGTTAAGCTAAAGGACACCCTTTTCTATGAACCTTTGCCCCTTCTCACTAAGCTCCAAAATCTTTTGCTTGTTGTGTCATGGCTGGTGCAAACAAAGCTGCGTCTCCACTTGACATACTGACTACCCACAGAATAAAGAAATGTCAATTTATGTATGACCCACATATTTCATTCTTGACAGGCTTTCTTTAAGTTAATCCTTTATACCTGGTAAAAAATAGAGCTCCTCAAAGGTATTCCCTGCACTTAATCAGTGAAGTTTGTCTGATTCAACAGTATATCTGATTAATTCATAGAAAACATAAAACATGAGCACAAAGAACAAATTATCAAGTAAAAACCAAGTGGGTGTTAATTTGTTTTAAGAACATAACAAAAAATCCCTGCATCTTGTTTACTGCATCACGAGATCTGCCTGTCCTTGTCCTCACTTAGGGTAAATGTATCTGGATGTAGGTGAGGTTTGATTGCTGGTTCTGTAGTGAGGACAAGGACAGGCAGATCTCATGAATTGCTGTTCCAGAAGTAAGATCTGCACTCCTACATGTCGACAAATATTTTGCCTGCACTTAAAAAAATTGCCCCAGGGGCTTCACTGGCTCCAAATATTTAAACTCTGGAGACCTTAGACCTTTTGCTCTTTAAATCCCCCTGGGTCCTAAATCATTCTTTGTTTGGATGATGTCTTGGTTATACAAATATATTTTAAATTTTACAGTCTACTCTAACATACTCTAGTAAATTTGGAAACATTTATTTTTATTTAATATTTAATAAGAGAAAATTCACGTTTCTGTATTTCTTCCCAACACAATGTTTATGGAATCTGCACACCCCCATATGCTGTATGTACTGCAAAATATAATCAACAAAGTAGAATGGTAAAGCTTAAAGTTAACTTATGCATTTTACTTGAGGAGAGCTTTGCTCATATTTAGACACTGCAAAGCCCACAGGGGGAAAACAGTTTGCAGAAATTATCTGCATAACATTAAGGTAAGTTGAACTTTGGTTTTTAATATTTTACAGGTTTGTGATCGCTAAAATAATTGATATTGTGTTCACTTATGTGAGCATTTGATGTTTGTGCAGTAACTGCACTTATCATCCAGATCATCCAACATCATTGCTGCAACCTGGGGGTTTATTTGTTTTTAAAAAAAGAACCCATGACTCTAATGGTTAAAGTATCTAAAGTTAAAGTGTGACAAAGTTAAAACCCCCTGCCAAAGAGAATAACCCTCTCTGTACTGGTGACCATCCTCACCAGGACATAAAGTAATGGGAAATGCAAAATGTTACATTTGCTCCATA